AGTCGGAAAAACAAAAATATTTTTTGCGCATGTCCGGTATAAATATTTTTGATTCGTTTGAACGTTCTATGCTTGTACAATTTGACAGAAATAGAAAATTCTCACAGCGGAAGTACTCCAAGTGCGACGCCCAGATTTCACTTAAACTTTGCACACACGTCGGGCAGGGACTAAATATCAATTCCTGAAAGTTTTAGCTCGCGCTTTGCGGGCGCCGCCGAGATATCGAACGATTTTTGTTGCCGAAAGAGCGCGCTAAACGTGGAGAGCGGTCAGAGAGAAAAGCGGTTTTTGGCCATAACTTTGGCAGTTCCGAGCGGAAAAATTTGATTTTTTGTAGAAACATTATCCTGTACGGTAAAAACAGGCATGAAATTTTTCGTGCCGAAAATCGGCAAAAAAAAAACTAAATTTTCGCCGACTTTCGATCTAAAAATCTCGGTTGTTTCTGCAAAGCGCGAGCTAGGATTCTCGCATATATCTTAGAAAAAATTATTCTAAATTTGTGCCAAGTTTCATCAAAATCTGAGCGTCGCACTTGGAGTACTTCCCCTGTAAATAAAATTAAACATTTTTTAGCATTTTAAATTTGAAAAAAAAATTATTTTTCCCAGAAAAAAAAATTTTAAAAAATCGGCCAAAAAATTGTTTTCTCTGGCAATTCCTCCTCATTTTTTTCTTCTCTCTCTCTTCTACTGTCGTTTGCAAAGATCGTTGAATATTTATACATAGTATTCTGCCTCTGGCTGCAAATCGCAATTGAAAATTTTCGGTCGAGACTGATTATTATGTTTTTATAGAGGCTCTAAAAGATTTAGGAGCAAGAACTATGTTAAATTTCCAAAATTTGCAAAAAAATATGCAAATTTCTAATTCAAGGTACCCCAAAAATTTTCAAAAAATCTAAAATTTGCATAAAATTTTTCTCCCAAAAATTCATTATATCCACTACATTCAAATCGCCATTAATCCCTTTATTATGGAGAAAAAAAAAAGATCCGCAAATTCAGTACCTGTTTTCACGACAAAGGCGCAAACCAATTTTATTGCAAAATCGATTAAAATTCCGATAAAACTAATTCGATTTTTAATAGTCTTGCGAAAAAAAACCGACCGAAAGATTGATACGAGCAATATCTAGAGGAATTGATCAGAATATGTCATGATCACTTTACAAAAAATTGGGGTGAAAAGTCGTTCGAATATTGCAAAAAGGGTACCCCAAAAAACAGGGTGCAAGGACAAATGGATTAGAGGGCGGATAAATTTAGAGGTTAGGTTGTAACGTGGAGAGGATTTGAGATTTTGAGGTCAAAATAAGAAAAAAAGATTTTGGTAAAAATTTTGAGGAGGTAAGGGGGGACCAAGGCAAAATTTTTTTGGGAAAGCGGCCAAAAATTTTGGCATAAACTTGGTGTATATTTAGAATAGTTTTTCTAAGATATAAAAAAGATTTTTAGCTACGGCTTTACAAAAAAACGGGATTTTTAGGTCGGAAAAATCGAAAAAATTTTTGAAATTTTGAACATTTTTGACCTAAAAATCTCAGTTTTCTCCTCAAACAAAAAGCAAAAAAAACATTGCATGTATCTTAGAAAAACTTAATCCAAATTGTTTTTCAAGTTTCATTAAAATTTTAAGTTTGACAATTATCATTTTTTTGCCTTGGTCCCCCCTGACCACTCAAAAATTTCAAAGCCGATTTTTTTCTCGTTTCGTCTTCAAAATGTCCTTACATAGCCTCCTCTATGTTGCAATAACCTCTAAATTTACCCCTGTCATAAAAAATTCAAACTTGCCTTTAGGCATTTTTTTGCAAAAGGTCCAAATCTCGTCATTTTTTGATTAAAATTTGCCCCAATCATGCCAAATCTCTTCAATACAAAGTCCAAAATTTCCATTCCCCCATATTTCAGCCTCTAAAAAGCCCAAAAAAAAACTTTTCACTTCCAACAGCAAGAGTTTCAAAGCGTATTGTAAAGGGGGCGTCGATCGAAACAAAACCCCCTCCTTTCTCCATTTATGCGGCCAATTTCTTGATCGCCTCGGGCTCGGGAAAGAAAAAAAGAAAACGATTTTTGGAATGGACGAATTCTAAGCCGGTGTTGGAAAGCCGATGTTCTGCGTCGTGTTCCCTTTTTGCGACCACCGCGTTTTTTTCGCGCGCGCGATTCCTCACGACAAAGAGTACACTCGAGCCGCTCCGTGGAGGGCCATCATGACTTTTGTGTGGGGAAATTGGGTTTCTGAACCGTTCTGGTACTAGAACTGTTTTTTTTTGATGGATGAACCCGGCGATGAGAGTGCTTGGAGCGTTGCGCAATCAAGTGAAAAACGTTTTTTTCAGAAAGTTTTTGAAAAATCTCGAAAAAAATGGTTTTCAAATAGTCCTTCAAAGGGATCAAAGAAATGAAGTTTATGTCTTTTGGAACCAAAATTTGCAGTGCAAAGTAATTGCAGCCAATTTTGAAGCCCAAAAAAATTGAAAAAAATGGTAAGGGGGGACCAAGGTGAAAATTTTCGAAAAATTAGAAATCTTCTGTCCGACTTGAAATTTGGCACAAATATAGAATAGAATTAGCCAAGATATTTCGCAAAATTTTAGCTCGCGCTTTGCAGAAAACGCCGGGATTTTTAGGTCGAAAAACATCAATTTTACTTTTTTTTTTTTGATTTTCGATTCCTTTTTTCGAGTGAATTTTTCGAAGGAATTGCTCATACATGTCTCAAAGACCGTTTTTCCCGCAAATGGAAACAATAATATTATATCAATAAAAACGTTTTTGCTTACTGAATAGTCAACATGACGTCAATGACGTCAACCTCCGACAAAAAAAGGTCTATTTATAAACACTAGATCAAAAAATCAGAAGGGCATATACGATCACCAATTTTAAAGGTATTTTCATTGGGAAATAGGGAAATAAAATAGGAGAAAAAACACATTATATTATGTTCTGAACATGGAGTGATGTCAGAATTTTCGAGTTGAAAATCGGTGGTTTCTGCAAAACGCAAACTCTCAGTTTGTCGGAAAAATAATGAGCACCCTGTCGCACCGAAAATCGCATCGCTTGCAAGACAAAATCGTGTTTTATTTCAGCGTTGCGATTGAGGCAGCAACGCAGAAACATTGTGCACATTATTTTCCCGACAAACTGATAAAAGCACTACAGTTTGTTTTAGAAAATTCCAATCTAAATCTACGTTAAAATTCATTAAAAAACGAGGCCAAAAAATTTTCGAATTTTCAAGAAAAAATTATGCCTTGGTCCCCCCTGATAGTTTTTTCCAAAAAAAGAAATAATTTTTTGGACTAGACTTGGCATCCTTCTTACTAAAAAATCGCTTGGTAAGATCTTTCCCCTCAAGTCATCTTTTTTTACCACGAATATCGCCCTCAATCTTTCCGCATCCGAAGAAAACTTGTAATAAAAGTACACAAAGATCGCTGTTCGAAACATTCTCCCTTCTTGTCCACCCCAAAAAAACGAGCTCGTCATAAACGTTTCTTTCGCCCCCCTTTTGAATGTCAGCGTTCATCAATCACAAAGGGGGATATTAAACGTCAATCTTCGGATCACCATCTTCCGTACAAACGAGGGGATTGACTTACTTTGGGAGGGGAGGAAAAGTAATTTACTATGTAATTTGCATGTTGTGAGGATTTCAGGGAAATCGAAACTTTTCGGAAATTGTTTAAAAATCAATAAAAAACACAGATTTTAAATTTTTTGGGGTAAAAAATTATTTTTGGATTAAAAAATTTTTAAGGGTACCCCAAGTACAATATCTTCGATTTTCCTCAAAAATTTGGCTAAGACAATGTAAAAAAGGCCATAAATCAATCTCTAAAAGCCTTAGCTCACCTTTTTTCAAGCCAAACCGAAATTTTTCAACGGCCCTTTTTTACGAGAGACCATCAAAAATGAGGAGGGTTGGCCAGACAAAGACCGTTTTTAGCGCGTATTTTTTTGCGTTTCTCTCGGAAAAGAATTATTTCTTGGGAAAAATTTTACACTTCATTTTAAACAGTCTCTATTTTTCAAATTGAAAAATTCAAAAAATCCGATTTTTGACCAAAGAAATATCGACCAAAATATCGGCAGTTCAAGGAATTCTTTGATAAAAACCGAGTAATTTAGTGACCACAACACAAAAAATCGGGGATATAAACGCAGATTGATGATGTCATTAGTTTTCGGAGAAAAATCCATTAAATCCCTGAGGGCATTTAGTAGACTTTTTTTCGGAATTTGCGGTTGTAAAGGACATATGGCCATGAAATAATTGCCAAGTCAGCGATTTGAATGGGATTGGACTTGATGGGAGATCAAGTTAGATGGATTTTTGAGCTAAAGCAGAAAAAATACGGTTGGAAAAAAAACGTCTAAAAACGAAATATTTGAATTTTGAGGAGGGAAATGTAAATTGGGGAAATTTTAAACCTACAAAGTTTAGATTTTTATGGAAATTGGAACAAATAAAGATTAGAGGTTTGTAAGACATGTGCTAAATTATAGGCTTACAGTTTGTAAAAACAATCAAGATTTTTATGTCCAAAAATGCCAAAATCTCAATTTTTTTGTGAAATTTTTTACATGAAAAACGTTACATTATCCTCAAAAATGTTGATTATAACGCTTCTACAGCAAACTCATTTTCTCACAGCAGCCTTTAGCAAGTTATAGCCAAAAATTTTCGCTGGTCTGGACCAGAGATTGCCACTGTCAAAAATTCGGCTCCGGCTCCGGCTCTTAGCTCCCAGAGACGGAGCCGAGGCCAAATTTGCAGCTCCGGCTCTTGGCTACGTGCAAAATTTAACAGCTCCGAGTTCCGGCTCCTATGCAAAACGTTTTTTTTAAATATTTTTCCAAAAATAAAAGTTATTAGTGGCAGAGATCATACAGCCAACGTTTTTGCAGCCAAGTCACGTACTCCGCAGTGTTTTTCAAGCAATTTGGTTTAACAAGATCACGAAATTTTTACTTTTCTGACCGATGAGAAGCCTGGCTCCGACTTTGGGCTCGGGAGCCGGAGCCGACCCTAAAATTTCCGGCTCCGGCTACCGGCTCGGAGCCGGAGCCGCTCAGAGCCGGAGCCGCGAGCCGGCTCCGGAGCCGTGGCAATCTCTGGTCAGGACCAATTTCCTCATTTTACGTGCTCTCTCGCCCAAAAGATCGTTAAAAATCTCAGCTCTCCTTGCATAAAACGATCTCAAATTTTCAGAAATTTATTTTTGGCCTTTTAGAATATGTGGGAGAAAATTTGACAAGGAAAGTACTTCTATGGGGTGTGGAGTTACAGGTCGAGATATATATCAAAAAATTCGCAAAAATTTCCTGATTCAGAATATATAAAAATTAGCTGCCTAATTTTGCTCTATCTACGAGTTTTATCAATAAATGTATTTCTCGAGGAAAAAAATCTGCGGCAACAAAAGCGCGCTCATTCTCTTCCTCCGGAAGAGAGCGGTGTGGCCGAGTGGTTAGAGCGCTAGATTGGGAATCCGAGGGGAAGGGGTTCGGTTCTTTTTGCCACACTAGAACCCATTTTTTACACTGGAACTACTTTTAAGGCGTAGTTGTAATCCAATTTGATATTTTAAGGCTTGTCAAGGCCTCAGAATTTATTTTAGCACAAAATAAAATTTTTTATTGGTAAAAACGCGGCCAAAAAGACACTTGCATGGTGTCGCGAGAAAACTTCTGAGGACAAAAACATGTCATCAGACCAAAATTAGGCAGTTAATTTTTATATATTCTGAATCACAAAATTTTTGCGAATTTTTTGATATATATCTCGACCTGTAACTCCACACCCCATAGAAGTACTTTCCTTGTGAAAAAAATAAAAAAAAACTAACACTCGCAGTGTCTCCAATAATGTATAAAAAACCCCCTTTTATACAGAGAGATTCTTTAGACGGCAAACGGCGTAAAAAACTTTATCGTCAGATTTACAAATCCACCACAAAAAACATTTCCGGCACTTCCGTCTACCCTTTAAAAAATCAAAAAATGTCTAGTCACCACCGCCACAGCGCAGTAGCTCCATTCCCAAAATCGTTTTTCGAAAAGTAAACACCCGCCGCCCCAGCGAAATACCCCATTTTCGGTGAGCGCTACAAAAATCCGCCAGGTAATTTATTTGAGAGCGAAAAATGCGCCGAAAATAGAAAAATTTTACGATTCAAACCGAAAAGGAGATGGCTATTGTAAGTGGGGGATTGTAAACGATACGCAACATTGGGCTGATTCGATTAGCCTTGAGAATTTATTTGGGTTGAGGATGATTTACTCCGAACGCTGGGAGTTGTAAAAAAAATTGGAATTGTGGGAGAAATGGGGTTGGAAACGAAAAAAAGTGGCTGTAAATGAAGGAGAGATTGTAAAAAATTACTGAGTAAATGGTTAGTGTGAACTTTGAAAAAGCAAAAAAATCAAAGAACTAGAAAATCAACTTCTTCTGAAAAATAAAAAAATTTCATTTTTTAACAAAAAAATAAAAAAATATATATAGTGTACCCCATGTGTAACTCTCTGACTATCTCTAAATTTGAACGGAAATGCTAAGTAGTCCACATTTCAGCTCCCAAAACTGTTAACTCGCCCGTTACAGGAACATCCAGGACACTTTTTTTTTGTCAGGAAAGTCACTGGAATGGACGTTCAAAGAAAAAAAAATTCGGCTAACCCTGTGAACTTCAGTGGTAATCACAAAGGATAAATAAAATCTGACCAAAAAAATCTTCTTTCTCTAACTGTCTCCCCTCATTTTTCGTACAGTCTGGGCCCGATCCAGTGGCAAAAAACGTACGCTTTTGTATCCGGGAAGTGTCAAAAATGTGGCAAAATGCTTCCCTCTCCTACTGAAAAAACTTTGTTTTGAAAGGCGCGCCCTTTCCCTCACGAAATAACAAGATCATTGACTATATCAAATGCACCTGCAAAACGCCAGCTATCAGTCTGTCGGAAAAATTATGAGCACAATGTTGCTGCGCCGATCGCATCGCTGAAGTGAAAAGCAATTTGATTTTGCCGCGACACAATTCATTTTCTCGGCGGAGATGCGATTTTCGATGCGACAGAATGCTCATTATTTTCCCGACAGACTAATAAGATTTTCAGAAATTGAGAAATCCCCTAAAGAAATCATCGTAAATTTGAAGAACACCTCAGCTTTGCGTCTTCAAAGAAAGAAAGATGACAAAAAGAGACAGGTAAGATTTTAATCAAATCCTTAAAATTCCGTTTCCCGCTAGGTAAGCGCAATTCGTCTGACTCATCTATCCGGTTACAGATCCGTGAAGCCTTTGAAGAATTGCGAAGAAAACAAACGATCGCATTATAAGGAAATGAAAAAACAAACAGTAAAACGAGCAATTCGATCAATCCTGTAGTCTAACAAGGAATGTGACGCTCAATTCTCAGAGGAGAAGTGCTGCAGGCGCAAGCTTAGATTTCTTCTAAATTTTGCACAAGTGATATGCCAATGGCTCATATTAATTCCTGAAAATACTGGCCTATGTTTTAAAGGAAGAACCGGGGTTATACAGGGTCTTTGCCGACGAGAGAGTATGCGAAATGTGGAGAGCGGTCAGAGATTTTTTCGTATTTTACTTGATTCGAAAAAACACTTGTGAAGTAAAAGACTGCAAAAATTTGTTGAAACTTTCATATCTTCGACATAAATCTATCGGTGGTTCCCGCAAAGCGCGAGCTATCGACCTACCGGGAAAATAATGACCAATCTCTCGCTTCGAAAACCGCATCGCCGCCGAGAAAATGAATTGTATGGCGGGAAAATCAAATTTCTATCCACTTCTGCGACGCGATGGACGCAGCAACATTGTTCTCATTATTTTCCCGACAGACTAATATCAGAAGCTAAAAATCTCGGATGAGCCTTATAAAGTTGTAACCTAAAGTTGGGCCAAATTTCGTCGAAACTTTGACGTTGCATTTTAGCCTCTTTTCTCTTTACTTTATTTGTTCAAAGATTGTAAATTCCCTCTAAAAAAACAGGTTAAATTTTAGCAGCAATCCGCTATCAGTCTGTCGGGAAAATAACGAGCAAAATTTCGCTGCGCCAATCGCGTCGCTGAAGTGATAAGCAATTGGATTTTATCGCGACACAATTCATTTTCTCGGCGGCGTTGCCATTTTCGATGCGACAGAACGCTCACTATTTTCCCGACAGACTGATATAATGACCGTCCACAATGCACATCCTTTTTAAAATAACTCTTCCAGCCACCCTTTTCTCAACATTAACCTGACATAACCTTGATCAGCGGCCCCTTAAAACGGTCTGCCAACATATGGTTTTGTGGGTATGAGTAAACTCTCGAAACGCCCCGATTTTATGTCATAAAATGCTGTGGTCAGTTTTTATCGTCGAATTGCACTTGAAGAGAATCATCAGCGCTATAAAATAGGGGTGGAGAGGAGCGAGAGGGGGGTTTGCGGTTATTTCGGTTCTCTATATACGGAGTTATTTGCACAAGTTCCGAGGAGGGGAAAAGCGCGGGGAGCAAACAGATCAGATCAACGTTTGATGGAGTTGGGGGTTGATTACGTGGGCCGGACGTGAGTAACGGGTGTTTGAGGAATTTCCGAGGGATTTAAGGCCTTTTGAAGGTCTTGAAAATACAAAGAAGGGAATTTTGAGAGGTCCAAATGCGGCTGCAGGTGGAAGTGTAACCCGACACCCTTGTCTAATACCACAAATATCCGAGATTGGATTACACAAGCGTTCGGTTTGAACATGGGCTTGCCGAGAATGACAAATTTTCGTATAGATGTAAACTTGCAAGGGCTATCTTTCATTTGGGGCAGATTTCATTTGGGACAGATCGGCTATTGGCCCAATGCCAATGTCTGCAAAATTCTTTGACCAGCCAGCCAATGAGTTAAAACCACAATAAAATTTTGAATGGCTAGCCAAACCCCTGGCTAGCCAATGCGTTCTGAATGCTTTAAAACCTCGAAAAAAGCTAGCCAGAAGGTTGGAATAGGTTTAAAAAACAGGCATAATACAAAATTTAAATTCTAACACCTTGGGTAAATTTTTTTAATATGCCGATTTTTTTTACACCGATTCCAATCCTTTGGCTCGCTTTTTCCGAGATTTCAAAGCATTCTGACACATTGGCTATCCAGGTTTTTGGCTAGTCATTAAAAAATTCAGCTGTGATTTCAACTCATGGTCTGGCTGGCCAAAGAATTTTGCAACGTTAGCTATACATTTTGCGTCAATACCCGATCTGTCCCAAACGGAAGGTTGTGTTATAAAGGGTAACAAAAGTTTTTGATATCAAATCACATTTTGATCTCTTTCTCGACTGAAAATATAATACTTAAAAAGAGCTACAAAAATGACTTTAGCTTTCAAACAGAGCACACACCAAGCTCCCCAAGAATTCAAAATGTCAAAAGCACTCTTCATTACAACATTCCTCATTTCCTTTCAACTCCTCCGCAGAAAAGATGCCCATCGCCTAATCGGAAATAATTCTCAAGCTGACTCAATTCCTCGCCCTCTCAAATTAAGACAACACAAATTATGAGTCAAAAGTCCGAAAATGGTTTCGTGGGAATTGGATGATAAGACATTTCTCAAAATTTTTTTTTGAAGCATTTCTGTCCGAAACTCTTCCACAAAGTGTTTGCATGCTGTTCACACCTCTTTAATGGCTGTATTGAAACGCGATAAGCGACGATAAATCACCGCTTCGACAAATAAACAAGACATAAAACAGGGTTGAAACTGGTGAAATATTTGATTCCTCTTCTCCATTCGTAGCCAGTGACGAGTACGGCCGTCATCTGATATCGCAGAAATTATATTATTCATGAGGGTGTCATGGACAACATAAACATGACCACACTGTTGTTACCCGGTCAAGCATGCATCAATTTTGGCAAACTAAGTACCAGAAGACCAGACACAAAGCTTCACGCATAAATCCCAAGTCTTTGTCCCTAAAATACAAAGAGAAAACAAACAAATTTCTTCGGATCAGTGATGATCATCCCAGGGCACCATCCAGACAAGGCATTGACGCTTCCAACCAACAAGACAGGATTTGGCATTCCGTTTTCATGAAAGATTGCCGAAGGCAAGTCGGATTGCCGACAGCAATCTCTTGCGGTGGGTCCCGGCGGAAAATTCAGACACATTTCTCGAGAAATTCTTTTTTTCGAAGAGAAAAAAGCATTTTTTATTCCAATTTTCGAGTTAATTTTTTGGCGCCGATCGTGTGTAACGGCCGTTTTCTGTTTTACTCATTGTTTCTGAATTTCAGCACAACCAAGTGCAAGCCATCGCCAAGCACCGCTCAGAATTCACACCCGCCAAGCGTCCGAACTTTTTTCAGATTTTGGCCCTTTTGGAGTTCAAGTTTCCTGACTGTACGTAGGGTCACGAATCCCGGGATTCCTGACTGGGAGCCCCCCAGTCAGGATTCGGCAAAATTTTTCGAAAGTTCGGCGCGAATTACTAACGCACAAGGCTTATATCCCAAAACGCCCCAATCTCTTCCAAAATCGCCTTATTTATTCATCAGCACAAGCCTAACGTTGACGATGGCACTGTAATCTCTCTTCGGAGATTCTGCTCTTGCGCTGCACCATGTTTTTTCCTCCCGGAGCCTTGGAATTGTAGCTTTTCCCGTTCACGAAGCGCGACTTCAGACGGTCAGCGTCCTGCGCGTCAATCTCTCGGATCAAAAGCAACGAGCGCTTGTTGAGTTCTTCGTAGATGAGGTCGGTCTTTCGGGGCAAGCATCTGATCCCATCTTCGGGAAAAGCAAATGGATGAGTGACCAAAGGGTTCAGATCGATGGGTAATCTCTGAAAAATGTTGATTATGACATCAGTAAAGAATATTATTTCTTTAAATTTTTAGGTGAGATTTATATTAAACTTGATCTCAAAATCTTAGAAAATTCCATAAAACAATCAAAAATTCTTCAAAACCACCCTTCGTCCCCTCTCATAACGCCCAGGTCAATCCTCTGACGCAATATTACCAAAAACTGACAAATATTCACCTTCTTTCCACAACGCTTGCACACCTCATCCGTAACACTCCGAGCCCTGCGCACCCGCCGATTCTTGACCGTACGGATGCTCTCTGAAGTGCTGGTGGAGATACTGATTGGAGTGGACGTGGTTCTGCTGACCGAATCCATGTGAACACTGTCGCTATCCGAAGAGCTAATCAAGCTGGTTGAGATGGTGGCAGAACAGATACCGGAAGATTTTTTGAACTCCACAGGGCTCGTAGTGATGTCAGGAATATCTGAAAGCAATTGGTCTTCGATTCAGCGGTAATGTTAGGCTTCTTTGCGTTGCGGCAGAACTCTCCCCCTTTTCTGAACTCTCCCCCTTTTTGAACACTCCCCCTCATTTTGAAAATTGAAAAAATTAGGTGTGAAATCTTATACGATGAAAATTTTCAAATTAAAAAAAGATCGTATAAGATGTCACACCTAATTTTTCTCAATTTGAAAAAAAAATTTCATCGTATAACATGTCACACCTAATTTTTTTCAACAGGAGAGTTCCGCGTTTTTTGGGGAAGAGTTGAAAAAGGGAGAGTTCAGATTGGGGGAGACTTCAGAAAAGGGTGAGAGTTCAGGCTCAACCGCTTTTTTGACATTGGTTTACCTTCAACTGGCGGAGCAGCTTCTTTGGACTTGGCGCGCTTGTTCTTCGATAATGGTGGAGTGGAAACCTTCAAATCCAAACTCACTGAAGACTGTTCTGTCGGTACATCCTCGAAACCAGGTCTTGGCACTGGAACATCCGTATGACTCTTGAAATCTTGAGCTGAAGACAAGTATACTATTAAAAAATTTCCAAATCTCCAATGTTAACTTAAAATTCACAAACAAAAAGAGAAGAAACTCACCCGACACAGCTTTGTTGTAGTAGCGACCAGTTCTGATGGTCTTGTCATTGGTCGGCAACTCCACAATTAGACCCTCCAACTGCTCGACGACATTGCCAATGATTCGGTCGATTGTTTGCATGGCCTCCATTGCCGACCGCTCGGCGACTTTTCACAGATGGCGAATGAGTTGAGACGGCCGACCTCATCAAATTCGCTTTCAAAATTTTGGAAAAAGTTCCTTATTTTGGCCACAACAAATGTACTCCGTGAACTGCGCCCAAGCTTGGGCACTAACGTCAGGAAAAACCGCTTCGACCTAGCTGGCACTGAATTACAGTAATAGCTTTATAGTTTTAAGGGTACCTACGAAGGCTGTGACGACTCATTTAGTTCCATACGGAGGCAATAAATTTAGTTCCGGACATGTTTCATCGTATAAAGTGTAAAATCACAGGCTGCAGCCGTTTTTGAAGGGTAAGGTGGTACGTAAAAAAGAAGGTACCTCACTAACTAAATCCACTGTCCGGGCATTGACAACGATGAATTGAGCGTGCACGCTAAATTTGGGCTTATTCCGACCAGTTTCCGCATATTTATAAGTTGTGGCCAAAATAAGGAACTTTTACCAAAATTTTTTACGAATTTTTTAAAAAATCACGAGATTTACTGATTCGTGCAATTTGTTATACAGCACATTGCTCGTAATCCATTTCCATCTCCTTTTGCGACCAAAGAACAAGAGCCGGTGCTGTTCCAGGCGGGCGACGCCTGAAAGTGACATCCATTTATATTGAATGTGCCTGTTTTCTGGAACGACCAATGTCAAAAATAGGCCGAGGAAAGAAGAAAACCGATCACAGTGTTGCTTTGGGGCTTCAATGGGGAAATTGCATGGGAATGTGTAATTTGGAGATTCTTATTTTTTTTTTTTGGTTTTGGGTGTCTGGGTTTTATAAGGCCCAAGGCGTTTTTTTTCATTTTTTAAAATTCCAATGTGTGGCGTTAAACTTGGCTTGCAAGCGGTCAAAAAATAAATTATGGCTTAAAAATTCGCTTAAAATTTTTAGCTTTCGCTTTACAGAAATTGCGATGATTTTTTGATCAAATTAAAAAAATTTTTTTTTGATTTGCAGCTTGAAAACTTTTGTGTTTGTTTTACATGATGTCCACAATGTTTTTAGAAGAAATATTTTTTTCATAGCGATTACAAAACGTTTTATTCAAAAATCTTTTTTTTTGTCTGACTGACTCTCCTCATTTTGCATGCTCTCTCGAAAAAAGATCGTTGAATATATCGGCAATAGATGCAAGTTGTAAGCTAATATTTTTAGGTTTTATTTTGTGGGCTATTTACAGGGTGCGGCAAAAAAATGGAAACTTATTTTTATAGCTATATTTTTCCTAGCAATCCAAATTCCGCAAAAGTAACGGTCATCTTCAATAACATAGAGCATTGTTTATAACATATTCAACCCGTTTTACCGTGGCTGCTTTTGGTGGCGATATAGAGCTCCAAACGTGACTTAAAATTTTGGCCTTTTGGCCGCGGCTTTTTTCGGGGAAATCGGTCCCGTTCTTGACGCAGCGGTTACTTTGCGACTCCAAACTTTTGTGGCGTGTAGTACAGATGCTGGCCTCCAATTGAAAAAAATTACAGTCCATTGGAAATATACCCGGCGAGCAGGCGCTCTTTTCGCAGACGGGGTGAAATCGGGAAAATCGGTCTCAAAATCGGTCTTGACTCGCTGTTGCCCTGTGAGTCGGCGCTGAGTCTTGTTGGAACGCCAAATTTAGGCTGCCAAGGTTCTACTGAGCCAACAGAAGCATGAGGAAATCGAGGTTAACGTGGCGCTGGAATTTTGCCCTCTTGATCCACAAAAATCTCGGAATTCTTGCCGCTGGCACAAATTCCGCCTTAGGCGATGACGGCCCTTATTTTGACGGTGTTCGTCGTTAGCCGACGTGCAGGGGGCCTCATCGGATTGGACTATGACGTTCTGTTGGTTGTGCACCCGCCAAAGATTGCATCGCGAAGGGAATGCGCTCCCATCGCGGACCTGCGGCCCGACGTCGGAATTTTCGGCATTTTTTCAGGCGTACGGGCTTGATCTTGCCGATTAAGAGTTGGGCATTTTAGACCTTGCGTGGGGAGACTTTGAGTTGATTTTTAGCTATTTGGCCGACTGGTCGGTCGCTGATGCCGGTCTCACGGGCAATTTTTTCTCGAAATCGACGGATTTCGCTATTGATGACTCCGCGGCTGGCAGAAGTGTTGGCGGTGCATTTTCTTTCGCTTACTGAACGCTTAAAATTGTCAAAAAGCTCCCTACATTGTGTGATTACATTGGACACAACGTGCTTTCTATGCCGGGCAAATTAACAGTTCGCACAGGTAAAAAAACAGGTCCGAAATCGAGGTCTCTCTGTTTGTCATTCAAAAAAAGAATGTTAATAAACCGATATGGACATGAAATTATAAGGTCTAGGAGAGAAAGCACTTAAAGATTTTTGCGTCAGGACCCCATGAAAAAAGTTTCCATTTTTTTGCCGCACCCTGTAGAGTTTTTGAGCCGAATTTGAAGAAAAGCGAAGGGTTGGTTTTTACGATACTTTTTTCGGAAAAAAAAATTTTTTTCATTTTCAAAAATTCGAATTTTCCTATAAACTTTTTTTATTACAATCCTTAGTTCTTAAACCCACTAGTTCTCGGATTTCTTCTCAATTGTCCCAACAAAAAATTCTGCGATTCCAGGTATAAACCTGACTAAATTATGCAGCCACAAGTTTCGTGTCACATTCCTAACGAACCGCATTTAATATATCGTCTCTCATGCCCGTTCCTCGTAAGCATTTCGTATTCCGCGGGGCATAGAATGCGCGTTATATCCACCTGTCCTAATCGAATTTTACTCGCAATCCTGGCTGCTGGGCTAATTCAATTTTAACTTTATTCCGGCCATTTTTTTCGGAGGTGGGGAGTTCGTTCTTGGACGTTGAAGGATGGTATCAGAAAGTAGGATGAGGGTGGGGAGGTTCGGTAGAGTCGGAATGACGATTATTCTCAGTCTGTCGGGAAAATAATGAGCACAATGTCGTTGTGCCGATCGCGTCGCTGAAGTGAAAAGCAATTTGATTTTTCAGCGACACAATTCATTTTCTCGGCGGCGATGCGATTTTCGATGCCACGGAGTGCTCATTATTTTCCCGACAGACTGATCGTATTTTCATAAAGTCCATGGACATCGGATTTTCGGGATTCGCACTGTGAACAAAAACCCTCATTTTGCATCGTGCATTTCACCTTTTTTTGAGTTCGCACCGTGCATCGCAAATATCGCCGCGGCGTCAGCTTTTTTCTGACGTCGCGAAAAAAGCTGACGTCGCTCAAGATGGGCTTTTTTGAGGCGCACGTCAAGAAAAAATAAAACAAAAGCGCTCAAGCAATGAAAAATTCTTGGCATTCTGTTTGATCTCAAAGACAATTTTTTGCTCCAAAGATAGCCTGATTACACGATGAAGATGGGGTAGAATGGGGTTATTGCATACATAAATTTGAAGCTGGGCTCCTGCTTAACCTGAACATATATATTTCATATAAAAAATCGGTCGTCTTCTATCTGTTTGAGGCCTAAACTAACAACGCCTAAAAAATGTTGCGATTTCGAGGATTTCTCTAAGATTTTCCCTCGCCCCTATTTGAAGTTTCGTGGAAACATAGTCTGGAACAAGGCGGATTTTTTGAGCCTAAAACGAAAAAAATCAAAAGAGCCAGTTTCGAGATAGAAAATCTCTTCATTTTGCGCAATATTTCGCCTTTCCTCTGACCTCGTCCAAAAAACTGTCATTGAGACGGATTTTTTGGACACTTCCGTAAGCGGAAACAGAATGCCAACTTTCGTGTTGACAGATAACCATTTGAGCGCAAAATCTTGACGTGAGGCGGCTTTTTTGTGGTTTGCACTGTGCGAAAACAGAAAAAAAAGTGCGTTGGTGACAAACGTGGGAAAAAATGAATGCACTGTGCAAACAGTGGTTTTGAAATTTGCACCGTGCAAAAAAAGAAAACGCACTGTGCGTTAGCGACAAGCGTGGGGAAATGTTCAAGATGCACTGTGCGAACGGCTTTTTGTGGTTTGCACTGTGCAAAAAAAGAGAAAAAGTGCGTTGGTGGAAAGCGTGGGAAAAGATTCGAAATGCACTGTTTGAAAGAGGGAAAATGTCCACGCACTTTATGAAAACCGTAGTCTTTGTGTTCAAATTGCCGGGAAAATATTTTATGTGGAAATTCCGTAATGAGAGAATCAAAAAAAGCCGTAACTGTGTTCAAAGTTCTCATAGAGTTCGTAAAAACAGGGTCCTGTTTCACTAACATAAAAATAAATAAAAGGGCAGTAGGGGGGAGCGAGAGAGCATCGAAAACGCGTTTGCAAGCGAGAGAAACCGGACGAAAAGCAGAAGTAGCCTACTTCTCCGGGAGTGACTTTTTACGTCCAAAACCGGGGTTGTGGACAGTATTTTGGCCATAACTTTTTTCTCAGTTGGCCTAGGAACACCCTTCAAAATTTAGAATGAAGCTGACAGTTTCAGCTATCACCAAGCCTATTTTTTGTGTTCAAATTGCCGGGAAAAGATTTTATGTGGAAATTCCATAATGAGAGAGTCAAAAAAGCCGTAACTGTGTTCAAAGTTCTCATAGAGTTTGAAAAAACCAATTTTTGATCTTGAGGAGGACTGAGGTTAGGTTGTTCTGTCAGCCATAAAATATTAATTTTTCGGAAATTTTGAGAACCGTGAAAGTTCCCCCAAGAAGGCCCAAAAATACCAGCTTGAAATTAGAGGGTGGGGGTGTGGTCTAGAAATTTAGCAAGATTTTTGCGAGAGAGTGCGGAAAATTAGGAGAGCCATACGAACGAGATTTTTTGTCAATAATTTTTCGATTTTCGCTAGAAAAAAGGAATTTTTTGAAGAATCATTTTGCTCTTCATTTCTGATAAAGTCACAAATTTTAAGACCCAAAATTGCCAAAAGCGTCGATTTAAAAAAAAGAACTTTTTTTGATAAAACATGTCGATTTCTATACGAGCTAAAAGTCTCAATCTCAAAAATTTATAAAAAATTTTTAAATACCATTTTCGATCGCAAATTCCC